CAGACAGACCTATTAGTATGGTTAAAGATTAGTCTCATTTTCCATATATCAGAGGAAATAAGACGTGTACACAATTAGTTTTGGCACAAGATATAAAGTGATAAATGCTGCATGACGTAAAAAGTAAAAGCTGCTGTGTGAGTTCAAAGTAGAAAGACATTTCTGGTGGGAACCAAGGAAAGCTTTATAGAGAGATAGCATTTGAGCAGGGCACTGTGGCTCACACCTGTAATCCCAGCACTTTGGGAGGCCGAGGCAGGCGGATCACAAAGATCACAAGGTCAGGAGATCGAGACCATCCTGGTTAACACGGTGAAACTCCATCTCTACTAAAAAATACAAAAAATTAGCTGGGCATGGTGGCGGGCGCCTGTAGTCCCAGTTACTTGGGAGGCTGAGGCAGGAGAATGGCATGAACTGGGAAGCAGAGCTTGCAGTGAGCCGACATCGTGCCACTGCACTTCAGCCTGGGCAACACAGCAAAACTCCCTCTCAAAAAAAAAAAAAAGAACCATTGTTACAAACATGTTACCTCCTTCGGAATACCTTTAGACTTTATCAATATCCATTATTGATAAATATTGATATTTACTCCCATTTACTCCTATTTGAGCTTACTCCCATTTTATAGATAGAAGTTAACCATCTTGCATGTCAGCTTTCAAGCAGATCATAAGACAAGCATTAGGATAAAATTAGAGAGACTGCTTAGACATTCCTTTCACTGCCCTGTTATATTCAACATTTCTAAAGGAAGATCTATGCATCAATTTTCACTGGCTTCAACTATTTAAATAGTTTATGATATCCAAAAAAAATTCACTGTCTGGGGGAAAGCACTTCACGTAAATTCAAGAATTGCCAGTATCCTATCACCCAACCCATAAGTTTATTCGGACCCCAAAAGTGAAAAAGACACATACAGTTATTTATGAAACAATTATTTCACACACCTACATCAATACTTAAAAGAAATATTATTTTAAGTACTACATTTATCTTATCTCTAGAAATACAATATATAACTGACAGCTCATGGTCAACTACGCCAAGGGTTGCCAATAATAAAACCGAGCCTGATAAAAATTAAGGTCACAAATGTCTTTCTTTCCACCCCAACCCATTACATAACCAAGCAATTGATATTTAAATGCTTTTTTAAAACCCTTCATAAAATTTGCATCTCCTCCCCCTCCAAGGGCCTTAGTTTCATGCTTTTCACATAGTGGAAATACAAGTATTTCACAGATAACATTTTTCAACAATTAGGTTACAATGTAACTGCTCATTAACTACCACCTTAACAGATACTTTCTAAGACATTCAAAATCTCTCAATTTAGATAACTTCTGCCTTTTTATATTTAAGACCAGTAACAATATAGCTGTCAGCTTTTCAAGTAATCAATTGCCATAAGGATTAGAATGACAAATTTCACCAAATCTCCTAATACTGAAATCTTTATATGCAAATAAATTAAGGCCAAGCGCAGTGGTTCACACCTGTAATGCCAGCACTTTGGGAGGCGGAGGCAGGCAGATCACCTGAGGTCAGGAGTTTGAGACCAGCCTGGCCAACATGGTGAAACCCTGTCTCTACTAAAAATACAAAAATTGGCCAGGCGTGGTGTGGAGGCATGTGCCTGTAATCCCAGCTATTTGGGAGGCTGAGGCAGGAGAATCACTTGAACCCAGGAGGTAGAGGTTGCAGTGAGCCAAGATGGTGCCACTGCACTCCAGCCTGGGCAACAGAGTGAGACTCCATCTCAAAAAAAAAAAAAAGAAAGAAAGAAAATAAATTAAAGTGAATCAGTCATGAGGCCTCCATTCCAGGCCCTAGCTCCGGGATGACAATTCTAGACACATCCTGGGCCAGAAGGGAATCTGCTGCCTTGAAGGGAAGGACCCAGTCCTAGCAGCATACATCACCTGATAACTCAAGAGCCCTTGGGCCCTGAATAACCAGCAGAGAGCTGGGCGCGGTGGCTCACACCTGTAATCCCAGCACTTTGGGAAGCCAAGACAGGTGGATCACTTGAGTCCAGGAGTTCAAGACCAGTCTGGCCAACATGGTGAAACTCCCTCTCTACTAAAAATACAAAAATTAGCCAGGCGTGGTGGCACACACCTGTAATCCCAGTTACTTGGGAGGCTGAGGCATGAGAATCACTTGAACCTGGGAGGCAGAGGCTGCAGTAAACCAAGATCATGCCACTTCACTGTAGCCGAGGCAACAAAGTGAGACTCTGTCTCAAAAAAATAAATTAAAAAATTAAAAAATAATCAGCAGTGATACCCAGGTACCCAAGTATTAATGGGCTTGGTGATTATAAAAGACCTTATCTTTTATAATGCCAGAATCAAGCCAATCTTATTTCAAACAATACAAACAACCAAAAACATCCTTTAAAAATAACAAAACCTTTAAAGACTGAGCCACTGATTAGTCAGTATACGTTTTAGACAGGTCATTGGTTTATTTGTCTTCCTCTTGTCTTTTGGCCATTTTTCCACCACAGAATCCTAGAATATTACTTTTTTTTATAAACACAAGTAAAAATTAGAACTAGTCTTTGTTCCTGCTTTTTAAGTGCTTGACAAAAGATTTGATAAAGAGAAAATCTGGAACTACTGTGTAAAATAATATTAACAATAATGCTCATATTATTTCTGCCTCACATTAGAAAAGACTCAAGAGGGATTTGGTACTGTGGGTTCAACTCAAGCGTTACCTGTCAGATTCTCCTTTAACCATGATTATCCTTTAGGAGATCGATGACACTTTAGCCTGAGACAGTTCTGAACACCTACTTGGAGCTCTTTCGCAGTAAATCATCAGGGAGTGTCATACTTTTTAATTAATTCCCTACATTCACATATGCAGTTCTTTACTAGAGGTTTTTCATGTAGCTTAAGACTCTCCTAGCATTAAATGTTTCAGTTATCTCACTACGTAGTATATCTGGGCATAAAAGATGTAATATTATAAACAGTTACAAAATCACAGACCTGCAACAAATGAGAGTAGGTAATATGAACTTCTTTCATTGTAACACTTGGGCTAAATTTAAATGGTTATAATCAGGTTAGACCTGGCAGCTGCAGGGGGCATTAATGCCTTGTGGTTAAGAACATAAGCTGTGAAGTCAAGATGGGGTTCAATTCCAGCTCCACCAATTACAAGCTGTATAACTTCGGTCAAGTTCTTGATCTCTCTCTGTCTCAGTTTCCTCCTCATCGGTAAAATGGGCAAAACCAAGTACTTACCCCATAGGTTTGAGAACTAATCAAGATTATAAAAAACGACAATAAGCACTCAACTTAGTTATGATTATTACTCTTACCATCAAGATTTACAAAAATTCAAGACTAGTAAGAAAAACTGACCCTCGTGTAAAATTATTCTATTCAGAAATTCTATATATGTAATTTGTTCATTGTAAAGAAACTGAGAAGATCCGACTTCAAACTATAGTTTCAAATGTAGACTTTGTGAAACTTAGTAAAATCCAGAGGTCATAATTTAACTGTAAGGTACACCATCCATGCATATGAACATGAGTGCCTGGTAATTATAGGCCAACAAGTTACACTAGGTACCACTTACATGCCTAATACCCCACACATAAAGATTTGTTGTAATTGAGCCAACTGACAAATTCAGAAACCTAGGCCACAATCGTGTATACAACTAGAGATCTGTAATCTAAGAACTGAAGCATATCTTTCCCCAAGGTAAAGAAAATATAATCTATCTATTGCTTGTTCCTGCAGAAAAACAGACATACGTATCACAGGCTCATTGCCCACTTCTACATTCTAGCTAAAGTGCTCTAAAAACATATGCCAATCTAAGAGTTACTCAAAGGCACATTTCGCCAACTTGAAATGCAATTCTGACCCATGCTCCTTGTAATTTTATTTTGCCACTGGACGCCAAGGATACATCTCCGAGTAAAAAAAAAAATTACTTAATTCACATCGTGGGATGAAAATTCAAATGTCAAACTGAAACGCCAGCCAGCCACCTGGGCAAAAGTGTATACATTTCATACTGACTACCCAAATTTTGAGACCCGTCAAGAGGCAAATCAGAAGCACACAGAAAAACAGCTTCAACCTAATAAACGTGCTTGATTGGTTAAGAGGAGGCCTGCCAGGCAGTTTCCCTTGCAATAAATCTTACTTCGCATCAGCCCACGTTAACCTGCCCTTCATCCTTCATGGAATAAATAAGTAAATAAAGATAGGGCCTAATTACTCCTCGAAATCTGCCCAAAAAGAGGAGAAACATTTGAGGTCCCATTAAGGTTGGACTTCACAAAAAGTAGTATACTAGGGTCCTCTGGAAGCAAAACCCTGTGTTAAGTCTCCCCTCGCCTAGAAATAAACCCAAGGATAATACCCTTCAGGATACGGAGTAGAAAAGATACCTAAATACCTGGAACGGCACCACATCCCAATCAAAAAAAGGTTTGTCTCCTGGGGCTGCAGGAAAAAAATTCCGCAGGGCCCGGGTGCTTCCCGTCTCCAGCAACCTAAACGCCTCTAAGTCGTCCTGGGATCTCACATCCTCGCGCCCGCCCACCCCTCCCCCTCTTCTCACCCTCCCCCCGCTTCTTCCCCACGCAGTTTCTAGGCCCAAAGATTAGGAAAAATGACCGGGATACCAAAGACCGCCTCCGACTTCGAGGTCTCAATACCACAGGCATCAAAGAATAAACAGAGGAGCCCTACCAAGCGTCACCGTTTAGAGGAGATTGCAAGAAGCGCCCCATACCCTAGGCCGCGCCCCCCCCACCTCCCCCCACCCCCACCCCCACCCCCGTCGGAGCCTTGCGCCGATACCCCAAACCCTTCTCACCTAAAGAGAAAACGATGCCTCTTTCGGCTAAGCAACACACAGGCCTAACCCACCAAGCGAACGCCTTCCCAAACACCCGACTCAGGCGGTGCCTGGGCCCAGACCGCTGGGGCCCATGAGACGGGATTGCGTTTTACCTCATGGGCTCAGCGGTCATGTTTTCGCTTGAACGCCTTGTCGGCTTCTGCGATTGCTGGGCGCCAATCTGCGCTCCCCCGCGCCCGGTTACGATAGAAATGCACTGGAGTCTTAGTCGTCACTGTAGCTGCTGCTGGAACCTCCCCACAGCTCAAAGGCCGCTACCACTGCCACCGCCGCAGGAGCCACGGAAACAAAGCGACACCGCTGCCGCCGCCATTTTGTTGGGCCGAGGCTCAGGCAGGAGAATTGGCGCGTCCTCCCTCTTTCTCTTTTCGTCATCCATTGGCTACCTCCTCCAAAGCACAGAGTTTTATTGGCTACGGAAATTCACCTTCTTTGGGGGCCTGTTGCTAAGGCGGTCGACGTCATTTGATCCCCTCCACCTTTTCGCAGGGGGTCCAATTTAGTCCCAATTGACCTGAAAGTGCTAGTGACATATTTTGACTTTATTTTGAAAATGCTCTCTTGGTCCAATCTCTTTTTTCTTAGACATATTAACGAAGCAATAACAGCAACTTACATTTATTGAGAGTTTACTATATGCTTGGCACTACACTAATCCTTTATCCAGGTTATCTCATTTAATCTTTACACTGTCTGAGGTAGACAAACCTACATTTTCCAGATGAGGAAACCGAGACACAAAGTCCCATAGTAGTGGAGCCGAGATTCACCAGACACTCTTAACCACTAATCTATATGGCCATCCTATGTAAGTATTTTCTTTCCTATATGCTAGGCTATCATCAAGTTCTTTTCTTTCCTAGATGTTTTATACATAATATTTGGCACACCAACATGCTCGCAAATGTATATGTGTATAAGGTACTTATATATATATATATGTATATGTGTGCAGATGACATAAGACCAACTTGAACGCTGCATAAAATTCTTTCCCTATTGAATAAAGTGTCTCTTAGAATACACACACACACACACACACACACACACACACACACACACGAGCCATTTCCCCAATTTGATGTAATGTTTAGCTCACAAACCAATCAATTTAGATCTGCTTCCTCCTCATTACAGAGGAAGCTTGGCTGGATGATCTCTAAATTTGCCTTTCCAGCTTTTATGATCTATAATTTGATTTTACATTGGTAATCTCTGCTAATCACAAACAAGTTTTCTAAAATCTAATCGCTTTGAAATTTATTTCCAAACTTATTCTGCCATGCATGCTTTAGTTCATTCTATTTATTTTTCTTGAAATATGCAAGAGCTCCTGTCGGGGTTAGGTGACAGGGTTGCTGCTTTCTACTGGGATAGCAAGAGGTGAGCCTTTTTTTAATGAAACACTTTGAAAATCTGATAGACTCAGGCAACTTTTTTTTTTTTCCTGAAACAGGGTCTAGCTCTGTCACCCAGGCTGGAGTGCAGTGGCGTGACGCAGTTCACTGCAGCCTGGACCTCCTAGGCTCTAGCAATCCTCCCACCTCACCTCTCAAGTAGCTGGGACTGCAGGCTCACGCCATCAAGCCCAGCTAATTATGTATTTATGTATTGGTATAGATGAGGTCTCTCTGTTGCCCAGGCTGGTCTCAAACACCTGCGCTCAAGCCATCCTCCAACCTCGACCTCCCAAAGTGCTGGAATTACAGGGGTGAGCCACCGCGCCTGGCCTCAGGCAACTTTTTAATCAACAGACGCCTGTACACATTGCAATTATATCTTTCAAATTGAGTTCACTTGGCAATTGTAGAAACCAGACCTCTGTACCTGCTATACTGACTTTGTCTTGTACACATTAAATATCACTTCAACATACAATTTACAGGAGCCATTTTTTCTCTCTATGGTAAATGCAGTGAATTTGAATGATGTACTCCATCACAAGGCAGCACAGAAATATGCTTACTGTCCAACCGACTTCATTATGAGAAAAATAGTAAATAGTCAACACGTTACCAGGTTCTTGGCGTTTTGAACAAAGAATTGGACAAAATGCACAAAGCAAGGAAAGAATGAAGCAACAAAAGCAGAGATATGTTGAAAATGAAAGTACACTCCACAAGAGTGCAGGAACTACCAGAACGCAGGGGCTCAAGACCCGCATCACAGAATTTTCCGGGATTTAAATACCCTCTAGAGGTTTCCCATTGGTTACTTGGTGTACACCCTATGTAAATGAAGTAGTGGCCGGCAATCGGAGGCTAAAGTGAAGTTACAAGGGTCACACCCTATGCAAGCATCTAATTGGTTGTGGAAAGCAACCAATCAGAAGCTAAAGTGAAGTTACAAAGTTACACTCCTCTACAAACATCTGCGTTCTGCAACCAATCAGAGATACTTTCAGTTTTCCATCTGCCAAGCAGAAAAGGAAGAAGATTTGCAAAGGGAGTAGTCTTTTTGTTACTTAGGTGTGGAAAGTTGGGGTTTTCCTTTTGATTTAGTTCTAGGAAGTCAACTTTAATCAGCCTTAGGTTCCCTTCCTCCAGACCCTATTCTCCTGCCTCACATTATTTTTAAATGAATTGAAATTATTAAGGTAGAAACTAGCTGTTGCTGACGAGGCTTCTTAACACTAAACAGCTTTAAATGACAGATCTCACAAAAGAAACATTTTAATAATAAAACTATAATTATAATTTTTTTTTTTTTTTGAGATGGAGTCTCGCTCTTGTCACCCAGGTTGCAGGCTGGAGCGCAGTGGCACGATCTCGGCTCACTGCAACCTCTACCTCCCAGGTTCAAGCGATTTTCCTGCTTCAGCCTCCCGAGTAGCTGGGATTACAGGCACCCGCCACCACGCCTGACTAATTTTCTTATTTTTGGTAGAGACGGGGTTTCACCATGTTGGCCAAGCTGGTCTTGAACTCCTGACCTCAGGTAATCCACCTGCCTCGGCGTCCAAAAGCGCTGGGATTACAGTCGAGCCACCATGCCCGGCAATCACAGATTTTTTTAATTTTAATTTTGTTTTGAGACAGGGCCTCACTTGGTCTCCCAAGCTGGAGCATAATGTTGTGATCATGGATCACTGCAGCCTTGACCTCCCAGGCTCAAGCAATCCTCCCACCTCAGCCTCCCAAGTAGCTACAACTGCAGGCCTAAGCCACCACACCCCAGCTAATTTTACCTTTTTGTTTTTATTTTTTTAGAGAATAGGTCGTAAATGTTGCCCAGGCTCATGTCTCAAAGTCCAGAGCTCAAACTATCCTCCCACCATAACCTCCCAGTGCTTGAATTACAGGCGTGAGCTGCCATGCCCAGCAATAATCACATTTTAAAAATGAACAACATTTGTGAATATTGTTGTGAATAACAACTTGTGAATATGTTGTGAATAACAACTCACTATATTTGTGAAGCATAAGAGAATTCCTGAGCTGGACATGGTGGCTCATGCCTGTAATCCTGTAACTTTGGAAGGCCAAGAAGGGAGGATGGGTTAAACTCAGTAGTTCGAGACCAAACTGGGAAAAATAGTGAGGCCTCCTCTCTAAAAAAAAATTTTTTTTTTTTTTTTTTTTTTTTTTTTTACTTAAAAAAAAAGAAAAAGGGGCCAGGCGCAGTGGCTCATGCCTGTAATCCCAGCACTTTGGGAGGCCAAGGCAGGTGGACCACCTGAGGTCAGGAGTTTGAGACCAGCCTGGCCAACATGGCGAAACCCCATCTCTACTAAAAATGTAAAAAATTAGCCAGGCGTGGTGGTGGGCATCTGTAATGCCAGCTACTGGGGAGGCTCAGGCAGGAGAATTGGTTGAATCCAGGAGGCGGAGGTTGCAGTGAACCGAGATTGCACCACTGCCCTCCAGCCTGGGCAACAAGAGTGAAACTCCATCTCTCCAAATAAAAAAAAAAAAAAGAAAGAAAGAAAGAAAGAAAAAGAATTCCTTTGTTAGTAAAGGATGGCCAACAAAGTTTTACTGATATACATATTGGTGTATTGCTTTCAGTTATGATTATCAATGGGTTCCCATCAACTATTTTAGAAGAAGTTTACTGGTACACATCTTCACATTTTTCTTCAAATTGCCACAGAAAGCAACCTAGACCTTTCTCTGACTCTTGACCATAAATGTGTAACTTGTGAATGTGCTTATTTGTTTTGGAAGAAATAAAAGATAAAGTACCTGAAAGAGAGCAAACCAGCTGAGAAAATAGTTACTCTCATAATTTTTAATAAACAGCTTTGGCTGGGCTTGGTGGCTCAAGCCTGTAATTCCAGCACTTTGGGAGGCCAAGGTGAGTGGGTCACTTGAGCTCAGGAGTTCGAGATCAACCTGGCCAACATAGTAAAATCCTGTCTCTACCAAAAATACAAAAAAAAAAAAAATTAGCTGGGCGTGGTGGTGCATGCCTGTAATCCCAGCTACTTGGGAGACTGAGGAGGGAGAATTGCTTGAGCCCAGAAGGCATAGGTTGCAGTGACTTGAGATTATGCCACTGCACTCCAGCCTGGGCAACGGATTGAGACTCCATCGCAAAATAAATAAATAAATAAGCAAACAAACAAACAGCTTCAAAACCCCTATTTTATGTAAGAATCATAATTCTTGAGCAATATTTATGAAATTTTAAAGTACCTATATTATTTAACCCAGCCATTTAACTTCTAGCAATTTATCCAACAGATACACTTCACAGGGGCAAAATGAGATGTCTACAAGATTATTCACTGCAGCATCATTTGTAACATCAAAACACTGGATAGCTGGGCACAGTGGTGTGTGTCTGTAGTTCCAACTACTCAGGAGGCTGAGGTAGGAGGATTACTTAAGCCCAGAAGTTCAAGGCCAGCCTGAGCAACATAGTAAGACCCTATCTCGGGGGAAAAAAAAAAAACAGGCCAGCCAAGGGGGCTCACGCCTATATTCCCAGCACTTTGGGAGGCAGAGGTGGGAGGATTGCTTGAGCCCAGGAGTTCAAGACCATCCTGGGTAACATAGTAAGACACTGTCTCTATCAAAATAAATAAATATATATATAAATTGGAAACAACCCAGATGCTCCTCAACAGAAGACTGGTTAAATAAATTATGTTACATCCACATAGGAAATACCATATAGCTCCACAAGTTTTACCAAAAATTGGTTGCATTTCTATGTACTAACAATGACCAATCCAAAAAGCAAATTAAGGCCGGGCGTAGTGGCCCACGCCTATAATCTCAGCACTTTGGGAGGCCGAGGCAGGTGGATCACCTGAGGTCAGGGGTTCAAGACCAGCCTGGCCAACATGGTGAAACCCCGTCTCTACTAAAAATACAAAAATTAGCCAGGCATGGTGCCATGTGCTTGCAGTCTCAGCTACTCAGGAGGCTGAAGC